GGAGACTTCTTCCCCAGCAGCATCACCGCCGACGGCTCCGCCCCCATCACCCCCCATCATCACAGAGTCGTATATCGTCGGCCGCTCTTCGCCCGGGGGGAGGGGAACTCTCACATCTGGTTGCAATGGAGGGAGGCCGTATGCTGAGGGGTCAAATTGGTCGAGGGATACGCCAAAGTGCCTGGCGAGCCTCCGGTAAATCAGATGTTGGGTAAAGAATTCACCCCCCTGGTAGTAGGCGTCGCCCCTATCTGTCAGCCAGTCAACCCCGGGGCCTTCTACCTAAGCATCCACCGAGGCCGCCACCACGGAGGCCACCCACTCCTTATGGCCCTCGGCCCTCCAGCCCTCGGCAAGGAACTCAGCAACTGCCTCCTCTCGGGCCTTGGCCACAGCTCCCTCCTTGGCGGTTTTGGCCTCATCGGCAGTTTTCTTCGCCGCCTCGGCAGCAACCCTCTCGGCCTCTGCCTTGCCCTCGGCTATGCCATCGGCCTTGGCCTTCTCCACCGCCGCCTTCGCCTCCAGGAGGGCCTCCTCCAGCTGCGCTGCATGCTTCATCGCTTCAGAGTTCTTGCGAATCAGCCCCTCCATCTTCTTATTTTGCTCGGCCTCGTGAAGGCGCCATTCCTCACGCCTCCGGGCCTGTTCCCCGAGGGCTATGCAGGCCTGCAAACAATGATCAAAGGAGTTAGATTATTCCCCAGAAAAAATACTAAATTGATAAGAGAAGGAAACAGGAAGCAGATACTTACAGTGAGAGAGGACCGGATGATCCTGTTCTCGAGGGCATCATCGTATGTCTCGAAGACTTCTCTATCCATCTTCGAGGTGATGCCCCGCAGAAAGGCCCTCGGCTCGGCAGTGCCGTGCATCAGTGAAGCACCGGGGACGAGGGAGAGTTGAAGGATCTCCCGGGGTAATTCCTCCGGGGGAGATTCACCGGAGCCTTCTGGGTGGCCGAGGCCAGAGGCCCATCAGTGGAGGGCATGTCATCAACAATTATGAGGGGGGTCGCCCCCTCAACAGCGCCCCCGGCGGCTTTCTGCTTCTTGGTAGGGGGGTCCACCCCCTTACCACTCCTCTTCTTCTCCACGGCCGCCTCGGCCTTCGACCCCCCGGTCCCCTCAGCAGCATTGACATCCTCAGCAGAAGGCTCTACGTCTTTTCGGGAAAAACGCATCGGCTGGCTTCTGGCCCGAGGGTCCCTTCTTCTTTGCCTGGGTTTTGCCCTTCCTCTTTGCAAACAGAGCATTGGCATTCATCTTGCTACCTGCAAAGAACGACAACAACAAGTTAAAAGGTTAGAACCGAGGGGTCGGAGACACAACGACAAACATGACAAAAAAAATTTCTAAGTATAAAAGCCGTAGCCCTCGGCCACTACCTCCTGCTCCCCCGAAGGCTTTATCATGGAGGGGATACTTCTCATCGGTCTCCCCAATGAACCGATACCTCAGGAATCCGAGGGCATATAGGTCTTCCTCGAGGGTGCACTCCTTGATGGTTATGTTCTTTTTCCGACCCTCCGGGATCTTGGCGAGTTTCAGGCCATCCTTCTCTAGGGCGATACTCCCCACCTTCTCGTGGCGCCGAAAGCGGTCCCTTAGCTCCCTCGGGAAGGGGCTCTCGGCCAACCGGACATAGCACCATCTGTCTTTCCAGCCCTTGTTGGACGAGGGCGCCTCGGTGAACAACTTGAACTTCGCTACCTGCTGCAAATTGGCGAAGCCCTCGGCATTCGCGTGCCCCCCTCGGCACAAGTTGAAGCTTTGGAAGAAGAGGTCCAAGCTTGGGGTAAGATCCCTCGTCCGGCACAGGTGCAGGAAGCCAGCAATATATGAATGGCTGTTGGGGGTAAGTTGGCAGGGGACCAAGCCACGAACCTAAGGTACTCCCGGAGGAAGGGGTGCAGAGGGAACCGAAGGCCCATGGAGACCGACAGTACGTGTACTGCAATACACCCCTCGGGCGCCCGAGACAGCACATCGTCAACTCCCGGCTCGACCACCACGGCCGAGGGCCCTACGTGTAGCTGCGTGACGTAGAGATCCGCATTGCCCGCCTTCGATTTTATCTCCAAGGCAGCAGTATTGAGCCAGGAATACCCCTCCGGCATATCTATGGGTTTCCCCTGATCGGCAGCAACAATCTTCTTCTGGGGGCCAGCCTTCGTCTTCCTCCTCTTCTTCCCGGGGGCTACACTTAACGGCGTCGGGTCCAGTGGCCTCGAGCTACTTCCTTCACCAGCACCCCGGGGGGGAAGAACATCGACAGTAACCTTCGCCCTCTCCTTTTCCTCCTCCTCCTCAGCAACTTGGACGGCGAGGGCAACCTCCTCATCTTCGGCGGTTCGCTCGAACTCCTCCGCCTCGGCCTCGGCCACCAGATCCTTCTACACCTCGGTGGCGAGAGCTGCATCATCACCATCCGAGGGCTGACTGCTACTGGACTCCACGTCGGAGATGCTTTCATCCTCGACCGAGGGCTCCCTCGAGATGTCCTGGGAATCGCTCGCGGACGACATTTTTGACAAAGTACGCACCTGAGGTTTCGAAGGCTTTCTACAGGACTCTAACCCTAATCTAAGGCCAGAGGGCGGAACTTTCAACTTACTGAAAGTTTTGAGAGGAAAGCAGGACACTAACCTTGAAAGCTGAGTTTTGATCGGGGGCTTGAGCTTTCTCTCTCTAGAAAATTTGGCAGAGCTTCGCTAACGATATCGGACGCACGAGGAGAATGGTCTGGCCATGGGGTATTTATAGACTCCAGAATCCGGGCTTGGTCCAAAAAACTGGGCCTCCGGCAAAGAGTGATCATTACACACCGTCTCTTCGCCCAACCGGTGACGCCCGCCCGCGACCAGCCAACGGCTATTCGCCACGTGTACCCCCCCCCCCCCCCAACGGCTATATCCTGACGGTACGTATTCCAACGGCTATATTTCCAACGGCTATATTCTGGGAGCCCCCGAACTTTTTTACTTCACCCCACTTCACCAAGGAGAGCCTCCAGGTACACTTACCCAGAGACGCCCCCGGTTTATGCCCCACACGGAACATAACAGTCGCCCTCGGGATCACTCCTTTAGAAGCCCGAAGCTTCACATCAGGCCACCCCTCGGGGATTCCCCCTCAGCACTGTAAGGGCCGGTTAGCCCCGGGGAGTATACCTCATTGACGGATAGTCTACAGCACACAGGCAATGGGAGCCATCGGGTATCTTCATCACCAACTAATCAACAAACAGTGGACCCCCCGGTAACAACTCCACTGCTACCCACATTCATTACGCCCTCGATTCCCAGATTGAGGGACTCCCCTTTCGGCGCCCACAGGACATCAACAACAAAGCCTCCGGCTAATCAACACATGAGCCCTCAGAAAAAGGAGAGCCTTCGGCATTACCGTTATTCTCCATTTTGGACCAAGGTTTCACATTTTCGATTCATCGTTGGGGGAATTCGGTGCACTCTTTTTCCCTCATTAGGATTTTTTCCCCCAGGGTTTTTCCTAATGAGGTTTTTAACGAGGCATCCCTCCAAAATGAAACGAAAAGCGTCAGCCTTCGGCCCACAACAGCAACGCAACTACTCTACTCCTTTTCACCACTTTACAAGTGCCTCAAGGAGTGGGGGACTGGAGGACCCCCTCGGGAAAATCATTAAATTACAAAATTAGTGAAATTCCAACAAACGACAAAGCAAGCCCTCAAGTCCCGACATGTGGGTAACTGAGGGACTGCCTTCGGCAGGGACATAAAAGCAACAACTCCTCACCAAACTACAACGGAGCAACATCAAATGGCAGACACAGTTTACTCCTTTTCCCTCGAGTACCTTTCGGCAAAAGGAGTGAGGGACTCCTGATGGAGTATATGGCCCGGGAACACCCGGCCCACAGACTCCTACTACACCAACAAAGGCCCAACCGGCCCAGGAAGCTCAAGCAGGCCCAAATCACGGCGCCCAGAGTACCAAGCAGCCCGCAATACGCACCAGGGGTGCCTTCGGCCCCCTGGCCGAAGGCTCCAAACTATCACAACGTGGATATTTCGAACAAACAGAGGAACTGGGAGAAAAACGGCAGAAAACAGTAGCCCTCGGCACCTGGAGCCCTCGGCACTCAGGGGTCCTCGGCACTGAGCGCCCTCGGCTAGTCCTCTGCAGCCGAGGGCACCTCTCCCGACATGATATCCGCCTCACATGCGTACAGATCACCGTACCCTGTACAGACGTCCCATCCAACAGCCGCATTAAATGCGGCCACATGCGGCTGCCAACGCCAACCAGTTGAGGTGACCTGTCGGCCAATGGGCGCTTGACACGTGTCCCTGTCCGGCATTTATTGCTACTATAAATAACACCCCCTTTTCCCCGTTGTAAACCACGACATTCATACTGAATAAACTCTCTCTCTTACTTACTTGTGCTCTGACTTCTCTCTAAGTTATTCTCTGCAATAACCCCTCAGATATATACCCCCGGGTAGACTATCCATCAATCACCAACCCGAATTTCGAAATAAACATAGTATTTTATGTAAGGTATAATTCTTCATCCATTTCACTAACAATGATACACAAGGGAGTGATCCACATACTAATAAAAGTGGGTTTATTGGTTGTTGTTTAATTGATAAATAAGAATAGAGTAAGAATGATTTAGAACAACACAAATTTTATTAAATTTGATATGAAACGATCTTAATGGGATGAGTTAAAAAGGAAATATGAGACAATTTTAGTAGAATAGAGAGATTACATTATAATTAATTATTTAAAAAGATGTGCTAAGCATGTCATTTAATTCTGTTGACTTTCATTTTTTGGTTATATTAAAAATTTTGTCCGTAACTAATTTGTAATTCTACCTATTTATCTCTCGTCTATACAAATTTCAACCACATTAACTTTTATTTTACTTATTTCCACCAATCACTTCATTCACATGATTCACACACATAATTCCAAGTCTAATTGTCTAAAGTCTTTGCTTTGATGGATTTGGATATTCAGGTGGGTCCCACCTCATGGGGGATGGATGACTCCATGATGGAGTCAGATGGAGTTCATAAATTTCGGAGCAAATGTTGATATTAAGCTCCAAATTTCAGTTTCTTTCGCAGCTTCGCTTTTCACTTTCTTTCAGTTTCTGTTGCTCTCATCCTTCATCTTCTCCGCTCCGGCGCTCTCTCTCCTTTCAGCACTTTCAAAGAATGGGCTCTCTCACGCAGGCCCCTATCGAGCCCCTAAAGTACCCACCTGCTCGCCGGGACGATACCGTCGCCGATAACTATCACGGCGTCGTCGTTCCAGACCCTTATCGATGGTGAAATCCCCCCCCCCCCCCCCCCCCATATGTACTCCGGAATGGGAAGACTTTTCCCTTGAGTTATAGAAATGTAATTCGAGCCTTACCATTTTCTGTGTGATGATTGTCAACAGGCTTGAAGACCCCGATTCAGATGAAACTAAGGAATTTGTGGATAAACAAGTAGAACTAACTGATTCTGTACTCGCGAAATGCGATGCTAGAGAGAAGCTAAGGGAAAAACTTACCAAATGGTATGATTATCCCAAGTACGGGGTGCCATTTAGAGCAGCAGAAAAGTATTTTTACTTTTACAATAGCGGGCTTCAACCACAGAAAGTCCTTTATGTTCAGGTGTGTTTTGATATGAATTCAATAAAAAAGATAGGTTTTTTCTCGGTTTGAATTCTGAAATGCTGAAGCTATTGACTCGTGTTCCTTTTGTTTCTTTTGATGAGCATTATATTTTGGTAACGTTAAACTACATTTACGTAAGGTAGGATACTCTGGATGGGAAAGCAGATATTTTGCTTGATCCCAATGCTTTAAGCGATGATGGAACTGTTGCTCTGAGTATTTGCTCTGTTAGCGAAGATGCTAAGTACTTGGCATATGGCATTAGTTCAAGCGGAAGTGATTGGATCACCATCAGAATTATGCGGATTGAGGATAAGGTTGTTTTGCCCGATACTATTTCTTGGGTAAGCTCACTGTGCCAGACTATCAATTTCAACTTAAGCAAGTTGTATGAAGGATCTTTTCTATAGCCTTTACAATGTGATTTGATACAGTTTTTTTAAGATATGGTCTCGTCTGAATCTTCTGATCTGATTTCATTTTTCTTAACTTTCTGATCTAAACTACAACATTTGGGCTGATCTTTAATCTTTCTAGTCTAATCTTATTTGAATCTTTCTTGTCTGATCATCCAAATGTTTCAGATTTGATCCGAATATTTCTGTTGTGATTTTAGTAGATTAAAATAAGAATAACTAATAAGAAAAACAAATGAGTTGAACAGAACTGCTCCTATGCTATACGCACAAAAAGACTTACAAAATGCATATGTGCTGTGAGATTACCTTTGATAAAAAGCTGATGTGATGTGTTGTAAAGTACTACGTGTGATCTTGGCACTTGTGCATTTTTTAAGTTCTTTTGTTAGTCTTTTGTACTCTATCATGGCACGAAAAACAATATGCTAAATGCGATCATGTTTCGTTGGCTCATTGCATCCCATTATTGAGTGTTGTTGGCTTAATTGCAGGTTAAGTTCTCAGATGTAAGCTGGACTCATGATACCAAAGGTTTCTTCTATAGCCGATATCCTGCTCCCAAGTAAGCAGGAAAAGGTTTTTTTTTGAGAAATAATTTTGACAGAACTTTGATCAAAAGCAATGTTGTGTGGATTATGGTGAATAGTTTCATTTATCAAAGAAGTATTCTATGGAGTTCTATAGAAAATGAAATAATGAACACGTCAATAGATGCTAATATTATGTGCTCGTCGCTCGGGAAGTTGGTAAATATGGTATTTTAGTGCTCTGTAATTATAAGGGGAAACATGTACAACAACAACAATGAAAAGTAGTGAGCTTAGTACTTTTGGGTTCATTAATGGATTCATGGGTTTTTGTTTACCACTTGACCCCTCATGACTTTGTACATGACGTAAACGGGAGATAATGGATCAGTCCATCTATGACATTAACTAGTTGGACTAGGTGCATTTATTAACCATTTCTATTAATTACACCGGTTCAGACTCTTTTTTTGGAGAGTTCTGCTACCACTTTAGTTTGATTGTGGTTACAGCTTCTAATGTGCTAACAGCTCTAACCATTTTGTCTAGGGATGGAGATAATTTGGATGCCGGGACAGAGACAAATGCCAATTTACACCATGAACTGTATTACCATTTCTTGGGTTCAGATCAATCTGAAGATATCTTGTGCTGGCAAGATTCAGATAACCCAAAACACACACGTTCAGCTTTTGTAACTGAAGATGGGAAGGTATTATAACATATTCTCTTTCATACTTGTATGACTTGTTTAAAGAGTAGTAACTTATACGGAGTATGTTGTTTGATTATCATCCTGGGTAAATTTATGTTCTTGACAAAGCATTTTTTGGGATAACTCAATAATTGGCGATTAAAGCGTTCTTAAATGAGCATTCTAACCTCAATCTTTAAATTTGTAGCTGAGGATAAATTCTACTGAATTGCTCGCACCAATTTTGCCAAATTTTGGTAGAACTTTGATATAGCATTTGCATTTGTCTGATAACCAGGGATCAAATTCACTATTCACTTGTAACTTTCCCCAAATTTTACATATTTATCATTAAGTAGAACTTTATTGGAAGCGATATGGAGTGTTTCTTTTTTAAGCATGATTGATTGCTCGCATCATGTATTGATTCAAATATCATATCATGTGTGATACGCATTATTATGTAACAAAAAATAAGTAATATGGAGTCGGTGAAATCCTTGGAAAAGTATTTCGCTGACTTGTAATCAAGCTTTTTGAATATATTGGTAAGCTTTCAGATATCGCTGATGTAAATTACTGCCATAGGCTAGCTACTTTACATCCAAAAAGAAACATGCATACATATTTCTTCCTTGCTGAGGGAAGCCTATACGATGGGCTACATATGGAGTCCAACATCTTTCCAGCAGCGTGTAAAACAAATTTGCTTCTATTCTTGCGAAACCATGAACTGTCTTTTCTTCTCAAATCTTCTCCACAGAAAAATTAAAAAAGAAAAAACTTCTGACACCCTTAACTCAATCACCCCCAAAGATTTTTTTTTAATTGATAATAAAAAAAAGTTAGAAATGAGTTTGATTTAGACTAACCATTACATATCATTTAATTATTTTTAAATTCAAAATCTTCCTTGGGAAGCAATCATTCTCAGTGCTTTTAGAGCATCAAGGCTGCATTGCTCATAGATACCTTCATAGGATTCTTCATCGACAAGTTTGTATTGAGGAATTCCAACTTTTTCTTTCTCTTTTCCCCTTGCCTTTGAATTTTCTCCTTCACCATTCCTCTTTGAAATTAAATATGCCCTTTTTCTTGTTTCTTTCTTCCAGCAATCCAATATTGATAGTTCTTTGTAATTGTAAGCTTTTAACTTTGCAGCGGTAAGCTAGCTAGTTTACATTCAAACACATATACAACACTCGTAGCACATTGTTGTGATTATAAATGTTTTTTCGTTGTGCTATTGTTTTACAAGGCTAGATTGGGAAACTAAATTATGTTTAGCTTATTGGAGTTCTCTTGTAAAAAATATATACTTCCTAAGTATTTTTTAATCAAGGTTTAGCAGAGTTGAGTTAGTCGCATGGTACTCCTAGATCACTCCTTATAGTATATTTGTTTGAAGACATTTTCTTATCTTACCTGCTCTAGTAGTGTGTCAATTCTTTAATGTTTTTAGAAATGCGAATATATAACCTCTAATTTTTTTATGCAGTATGTAGTTCAATCCATTTTTGAGAACTGTGATCCTGTAAACAAAGTTTATTACTGTGACTTATCTGCACTCCCCAATGGGCTTGAGGGTTATAAAGGAACAAATGAGAAGCTCCCTTTTACCAAACTCATTGATACCTTTGATGCCTCTTATGAGTTTGTTGCCAATGATGCTACTGTATTCACTTTTCGTACTAACAAGGATGCTCCCAAGTATAAAATAGTTAGGTCAGATATTAAAGAATACGGTTCTTGGTCTGATGTGATTGAAGAGGATGAAAAAGATGTGCTTGAATCTGCTGTAGCTGTGAATAAGAATCAACTGGTCGTAAGCTATTTGCGTGATGTGAAACATGTTTTACAGTTGAGGAATATAGATACAGGTATCCTGAAGCACCATTTGCCAATAGATATTGGAACAGTGTCTGGAATTTCTGCTCGCCGCAAAGATAGCATAGTTTTTATTGGCTTTACAAACTTCCTTATCCCTGGGATTATTTATCAGTGCAACCTTCAGAGTGATGTTCCAGAAATGAAAATATTCCGTGAAACAGTTGTCCCAGGCTTTGATCGATCAGAATTCCATGTCAATCAGGTAGGCATTTTTCTGGGGGTTGTGGTTGAAGCATTTATTACTACTTTATTGTTAACTGATGCTTCTCATTCATAGGTTTTTGTGCCTGGAAAAGATGGTGTTTCTTTGCCTATGTTTATAGTAGCTGAAAAAGATATTTCTTTGGATGGATTGCACCCTTGTTTATTGTATGGATATGGTGGATTTAACATTAGTATTACACCATACTTTTCTGCTGCCCGTCTAGTGATTGCGAAGAACTTAGGTGTTGTTTTCTGCATAGCAAATATTCGCGGTGGTGGGGAATACGGAGAAGAATGGCATAAATCAGGTGCTCTTTCAAAAAAGCAGAACTGCTTTGATGATTTCATTTCTGCTGCCGAGTATCTTGTTGCTTCTGGTTACACCCAGCCTAGCAAGTTGTGTATTGAAGGTGGAAGCAATGGTGGGCTTCTCATTGGAGCTTGCATCAATCAAGTATGTTACATCAATTCTTGTTTCTGCATATTTCCCTAATGAGTTACAGTTACAAGGGAATTAACTCATTTAACTGTACTCCTGGATTTGATGGCTTATAGAGACCTGATCTTTTTGGATGTGGCCTTGCACATGTTGGTGTTATGGACATGCTTAGATTTCACAAGTTTACAATCGGTGAGTGAAGTTTTGGAACTACTACTTTATGGAGAAAGGGTCAAATAAGTTTTTGAACTTTTAGCACTGATGTAGTTAGGCTCCTCAACAAAAAAAAACATCCAATTTTACTGTTTTAACTCTAAATATGAGGGACCATTAATTGGATGAATTATGTTGAAGAGCTTAATTGTAGATGTGCTAAAAGTTAGGGTTTATTTAATTATTTTTCCTTTCTTTACTTCTTATCCTTTTTCCAGGCCATGCATGGACATCTGATTTTGGGTGTTCGGATAAGGAGGAAGAGTTTAATTGGCTGATCAAGTAGTTATCAGGCTTTGCTAATTCCTTTCTGATTATATCCTGTATTATTATCATTGTTGTTGTGGTTGTTATGCATGAAGTTAAAGTTCTTGTGTATTCCTTACCAATTCTCTTCTCAGGTACTCACCGCTACATAATGTCAGAAGACCATGGGAAGAAACTCCCAGTAAAGCTTCACAATACCCATCAATTATGCTATTGACAGCTGATCATGATGATAGGGTCGTGCCATTACATTCGTTGAAATTGTTAGCGGTGTGTAAACTCAATTGACTTAATTTTTTATCTCTTCTGTTTGAAAATGTTTACATTCATTGTCTCTTGAAAATTTAATTTGAGTAGATGTATTTTAGCCTTGTTGATTCCTTGTATTGCTCGAGTAAATTTGCCACAATTGAGAATAATTGAGAATTTTCATTTTTGTATTTCCTTAGCTGACTGTCTTTTACAAAAAAAAGAATCACGAAGGTTAGCACAACCAACCATGACCTGCTACCACATTAACTTTGGATTCCGCTACCATGACCTGAGAAAAGTTATCATTTCAAGTCAGAACATAACTAGTCAGAAAATGGTGATACCCATTAGGTAGTTAGTTGCACAGTAGGTTTCTTCTTAGTTCTTACACCTCTTGTAGGCACACAACTCCACTCTAAGTCATTTCATGGGGTGCATTGATTTGAGGTCATATTCATCTCTGCTGTATCCTCTCCCACCATCTATCCATCTTTACTTAATATAGCAAGATAAAACTCCATTTGAAGCAGGCAATTGGGACGAAGGTTTTGGTTCAAAATACTTGTCTTTGCTGTCAGCCTTTCAGGAATTGGGGGGATCACCCCTTGTCTGGTTCAAATAGACAAAATATTGAGAATATAATATAACCCCTTGTCTGGTTCAAATGAGTTTGGGGGGATCACCCAAACTCAGAGTGAGATATGAGGAGTTCGTATGAATCCTTACCTTCTCTACTTTCCTCCCTTCACCCGAACTCAATCAAAAACACACCACTTGATCCACTTTCTTCTACTCCCCTCTAAAGTCATTCAACGACACACATGCTAAATGTTTAACTATAAATTTGAAGTTGGAAACATCACATTCTTGTTTTGTTCATTTTGAATCTACTCAAGTGTGTTTTTTATTCTTGGAGTTTTGAATGATCTTAACAGAGTCTGGGGTTAGAATTTATACTTCACGCCATGATTTCCATCTCAAATACCGTTTTTGGTTTCTGTTTCCAGACCTTGCAATATGTTTTATGTTCAAGCCTGGAGAAAAGCCCCCAGGTTAACCCCATTATCGGCCGGATAGAACGTAAAGCTGGACATGGAGCAGGACTTCCAACACAAAAAATGGTTAGCCATTTAATTTTACTTTAATTTAATACTATGTATTATTTTTCCCTCTGTAGTTTAAAGGTTCCATTTATACCTTGATTTCTTGAGAATAAAAAAACGTAGTACTACAAAGTTGGCTTGATTTTTACTATCTCTATACTCCCTGTGCTGCAGATTGATGAAGCTGCAGACCGGTATGCGTTCATGGCTAAGGTGATGGGTGCAACCTGGGTTGAATAGATGGATGATCTTCCTTCAAGTGAACATAACATTTCAGTGGAGGTCTCACATGGTGACGATGGGTGCAACCTGGGTTTTAATATTACATGGTGACGATGGGGAAAACAAATCACCTAAACTAGCACAATACACAGCCACCCTGGGGGTCTCACAATTCTTTCAAGCCCACCCCATGGACTAAAACAAATACTATGGGAAAACACCAATGGTTTAGAAATTGTTAGACCGTAGCTTGGTTCTTTATGTTAATTTTCCTATGTACCAAAAAATGATGCTCTTCTAGTGAGTGACACTTTCACTGGGATTGTGCAAATAAGGAGAAACATGACACGACTCTCTTTCACTAGTCTTTTTGTTGTCTTATAATTTTCATCTCGTTTCCTTATTTGTATGGTTCATGTAGTGCTATTTCTTTTTTCATCAACGTTGCCATATAATTGATTTTCTTCATAATTGTGCCAGCAAAGTGATGAAAAATTTGGTAGGCACGGGTGAGTATCACAACTGTGTATTCAGGATCTTGATATAGTTGGTTGCACAGTGCTGGTCTCTTTTGTTAGTATATGTTGTCTGATCTCTCATCAGAATTTTTAGGTCGAAACAGGAGAGATCTAGAGCTCATCAGCACAGTTCGGCTTGTTAATTTGTTATCTTCTAGTGATGTTCATGAGTGTCGAGTGAATTGACTTTACCATGAATGTTCACATTTGTTTTCGTTTTGGGCCGGTGTGCCTCTTGTTTCTCAGTTGAACTGAATTTCCATGAAACTCTCGTTACTATTTCTGTTGCAAAACTTAAATATCGTTGCAAATATTTTCATTCTTCTTATACTACATGTATTACAGTATTACTCAATGGCTAAGAATGTTCCCCCCTTAGCAAATAGCAACTTCAATAATCCAACTTGCATAGTTTTCAACATCAAGCACCTTGTGCCTGCGTAATCGCAAATTCGCAATATTGCATATTTGCATGCACCGTAGAGTAATTGGACTCTTATTTTACCCACTGCAAATCTGAATATAAGATGCATTTTGAAAACATGATTATGCTTTTATTATTATAAGTTATAGCCTCTTTCAAAAGTTAAAAAAAAAATCTTAAAAGGATAAGGGTAATAGTATAAAGTTTTGAGTTCAATTTAGACTATAAAGAACTCTGTGTTTCAAAATGGGCTGGAGAATAATGTACTTGTCTCATCAAGTCTAACTGAAGTAGAATGAACCGTTTCAAATACAGAGAAATTTTGTGACCTAATTGGTTGCACACTACATAGAAAATGCAGAGAAAATGCAGTACTTACACAACATAAGAATGAATGGTTGTGTGAAGCTATGGATTTCTTAATCAATGAACAAAAGCTGCAATTCTTCAGAATATAAATTAACATTAGAAAAATGAACACAATGGGAAAGCATCCCTGTCCTGGGACACAAGAAAAATCAACTCAGACCGGGACCAGAAAATAAGGTTCTGGTCTGGGACCGAGATCAGAACGTTGGGAAAGGGGTCATGCCGTCATGGTCCCGGACCTCCATTTTACTTTATTTGTTTTTGTGCTTGAAACCATCGGAAAACATTTCACAAGGGTTGAGGTCCTTTTAAAAGCTTAAAATATGATCCATAAAACATATAAGTACATTAAAAAAATAAAAAACCCAGGATAGGGACCAGTTGGGACCGGAACAGCCGGGAACCAGAAATAGAGGTCCCGGTCCATGCCTAACTATGACCGAGTATTACGGAGTATTTCAGAGAAAGGAATCAAATGTAACAAAAGAACATGATTGATAACCCCTCACTACAAAACAGTTATTTTCCTGTGAACCGGTGCACTCAATCGATGAGTACTAGTGTGCAACAGATACTAGCCTTCTATATCATTCTGAAGAGTGCCTGGTGATGCATGATTTGTAATCATACATGCCATTTGTAAAATCTGCCTGTCCAATTTATGAACTTCATGCCACTTGTGATGAAAGGGTTGGGATGATGTTTTAGGCATTAGTATTTGTGCGGATAACAAAAATCCACCTAGAGGCAGTCCATTTTCACATCTGTGACGTCAAGTTGCAATATCTCTGCTCTGCATCCAAGCATTGAACCAATACTGCAAAATACATAACTCACTTTATCTCTTTCCTTATTTAAAAATCATTGTTTCCATCTCTCATTCTCCCCTGATTTTGCAATGTCAGTCAATTTGGAGCAATATAGTCTCCCTAGTCAATAATTTAAATGTTTCCATCATTTGCAATGGAGCCAAAGATTCATAATTTTTTGGCTTGAGATTGTGATGGAATAAAGCAAAATGGATCACTAAACTGTCTCCGCTTCTTTGTTATGGAGCGGCAGTCAGTCCATGCAATTTTGGACGCGATTTTCACTATGGGTCATCCGGAAACAGTCTCTCTGTGCTTTAGTACAGGGGTAAGACTGCGTACATCCGACCCCCCTTACCCCACCGTAGGTGGGAGCCTTTGCGGCACTGGGGTAAATGAAAATGAAATCATGAAAGTCAATAATTTAAATAGTCAATTCAATCCCAAGCACCATAGTGATTCTTTTAGAACAATTTTAATATTCTAGACAATTAATATTTGCTTTAACCACTCTTAGAACAATTAAAGGACATGAATGAACCAAATTTACAGTGAGAGACTGCATAGCACTATTGCAGTCAGGAACAATTGAGGGGCCAAAAATAACTCTTCATCTTCAAAATTCATTGTAACTCTGCTATGATAACTTATTTCATACCTTGGCTGGGTGCGTCCAAGATCTCCATGAACAAATTCCTTAATGTATGTCCCAGCCTGACATGAACAAATTTTCATTATTATGGTTAACTAACTAGCAATTCCCTAATCATGACATCAATACACATAATGTTGAAGATAGTCTACAGCATTACATTTTTTCAAGTTAACAAACACAAATAACAGATTTTTATAATACTCATTAGTACATAAATTTGTACTTCCATCATTTCCAATGAAGCCAAAGATTCATTAGTTTTCAACTTGGAATGTGATGGAATAAAACAAAATGGCTCACTAAACTGTCTGCAATTCTTTGTTATGAAGCAGCAGTCAGTCCATGCAATTTTGGACGCGATTTTTATCATGGGTCATCCAAAAACAGTCACTTTGTGCTTTAGTCCAAGGGTAAGGCTACGTACAGCTGACCCCCCTTACCCTACTGTAGGTGAGAGACTTTACGGCACTAAGGTAATGTTGTTGTTGTTGTTGTTGTTGTATTAGTACATAAACTTATCTATCAGGAACTACACGGAAGAGTTATTATCAGGGAACAGTATTTTTTTATTAATACAAGGAAAAAGTTATAAGTTTGAAAAAAAATGACCACTAGTAAAACAATATAAGACACAAGTTAAATGGAGTATAGATAAAAGGAACCTGAGTGCATAGATGCAAAAGAAAATACTGAGAACTTCCCAGTACCCTCTCCAATTTCATCCTGCAACAAGAGACCAAATAATAAACAGACATGGTCAAGCTAAAGAACCTCATGCCACGATTTGTCTTTTTGAAAATTTAATACCAATGTATTATCCTTTCGCGCTCTAATGGGCTTCGACGGTGAAGCACCCTGATTGGTGTTTTCTGAATAATTTTCTGAAAAAAACACATAAATTCTTTAATAAGGAGAATGTTATATATAAACAGCCCAACTTCAGAATAACCAACATCATGTAGAAAAGAGCCAAGGAAAAGTAGATTTTTAGCCAAACATTTTTAAAAATGCATTTTCTTAAGCAACATTATGATTGCAAAGACATTATTATGATTATCAGATACTGCATGAAATATAGTGAAAAATCAAAAGGCCCATAAATCCATTTTCAATGCTCATATACACAGCAAATAAAAAATTAAAGAAAATGAAGAGATATAGAAAAAAGGTCAGCAAAATACACCATGTCCTTCGCTGATGATATAGTATGCAGATCCCCGTGGTTGAGATCACGATGAATCCAAACCAAAGCAGAATATTGCTTCTGCTTACAATTACAGAACAAAAATTAATTTGATGATAAAGTCACAATAGGAAATTTGGTTTCCAAACTTTTAGAGCATACCTGCTTCTCAGCTTCCCCTTCACGCATCATTGCCCACCCTTGGTTACTTAAAACATCAAGATTCTTCACCTTTACCTGGATGCACACCATGAACCAAATTCGAATCATAAACACAATTAATACATACTCCCTCAGTCCCAAAATGAAATTCCTACTTTGCTTTCGTCCATCTCAAAATGATCTTCGCATTTCTTTATTTCCACAATTAAGCCTTTAGTCGAGCGATTTTACTTAGTCAAATTCTTATCCTTCATCAAATCTGACTGAAAGGCTGGAAAACACGAAGCAGTAGGAGGGGAAAGTGAGGCTTTGATTGGTTTTGGGAGTAACCTAGGAATTCTTCAGGCAAAATGGAGATTCCAGATTTAGACCAGGACAAAGCTCTCTTATTAGCCCAGACAATTGCTCTGGAGAAATAATGTTTGGACTGTTGTAGTTGTACTTGTACTATGTGTGGATGGTATTTTTTCGACCATATGAGGGTGAGACTATGCGAGAATTATTTACCGTTGCACAAGGGCAAAAATGGAAAGCAATTACTTTATCAATGTTTCTTAATATGTGTGCCATGGTGCTATCATCATTTTCATTTACCCCAGTGCCGCAAAGGCTCCCACCTACGGTGGGGTAAGGGGGGTCAGATGTACGCAGTCTTACCCCTGTACTAAAGCACAGAGAGACTATTTCCAGATGACCCATAGTGAAAATCGCGTCCAAAATTGCATGGACTGACTGCTTCTCCATAACAAAGAAGCGCAGACAGTTTAGTGAGCCATTTTGCTTTATTCCATCATAATCTCAAGCCAAAAAATAATGAATCTTTGGCTCCATTGCAAATGATGGAAATTAATTTAGTGTGCAGTTAATCCATCTTTGGTGTGCCATGGTGCTATGTTGCAATTAATTTAGAATGGAGGATAGTACAGAGTATTAGATTAAAGATGTATGCAGAAAAGTCACTCATTCAAAAATTTAATAATGGTTATAAGATTAAACTAAACATTAATGTACCAATGTATAAAGTTTTTTCAAAAATTCATGATGTGCTTGGAATTAGATGGATAACATATCAACATAATATTTATATAAAAAATTAAAAGTAGGATTGATAGATCAAATGATTACTTCATAAATATGCAGTAGCTTTTTAATACTTGGTGTAATAATAGCGAGCAATAGGCCAATAGCATGCTAATAATTATTATAATGATTACTAATTAATAATCAATAATTGTAGTGTTAGTGTAATAATATTAATCGAGTAGTATAAGAAAA